TTAAGGGCACAGTGCCACGAGGCTCATATACAGATGGGGCTGCTCCAGATAGCTGACCAGTTGTCAGGGCAGTGGAACAGACAGAAGAGAGGTTGAAGACCAAGACTCCAAAGGTATGGTTATCAGTATAGTCTGGTGGAGCATTAATGTGAGGTGTCACAGAGATGGAAACACCTTCCATCACTGGGTTGAACATTTATTGGGTAACATCTATTGTTACCCATGTTCAGTGCATTGCCAAGATTCTTCTTTGACATAAGTGACATGAGATTTACATTGTGGTGGTGAAACATTCTGTTTCTCTTAAATGTTGGCTTACTTGCCTTGTCTGCATACATGATGCTCACATACACACATACACACTGTCCTGAGCAAACAGCTCTACTCTGAGAACTACGGCTTTTCAGGTTGAATCAGGTCATAGTCAGGGTGCTATATCAGGTAATTTGTGGGGTGCGCTGTGAGGGACAGCCCTGAGAAGATCCCTGAATACTGTGGAAGGAGCCTAGGGGCAATGGAGCTGACTGGGGAAGAAGCGGGTATGTGACTGTGCAGTATGAGCTATTGGACCCTGGATTCGTGAGCCTGGGAAGGTTAATGGAGTGTATCACATGATGGGGACAGATTGCCCTTATTTTCTATAATGCTATGCTCCCAGAGTAGCACTGAACACTGAGCTGCTTCCTGCTTGAGCCTGCTATGCTAAATTGGAAAATGTATTTCTTTTTTTCTTTTTTTTTCTAAAAATTACAAAATTTTGCTATTGTAAGCACATTTGGGAGGTTATTTGGAGACTGGGCTTCTGGCTTGGCGTTAAGACTAATTGATGAATTTCTGCTTTCATGTTTTCAATCTTTTTTTTTAATTTTATTTTTTTCTTATCAGTTACATTTTATTAACTCTGTATCCCAGCCGTGTCCCGATCCCTCATTCCCTCCCAGTCCCTCCCTCCCTCCCTCATCTCCACCGTGCCCCTTGCCAAGTCCATTAATAGGGGGGAACCTCCTCCCCATTCATCTGATCCTGTTTTATCAGGTATCTTCAGGACTGGCTGCAAAGCTCTCCTCTGTGGCCTAACAGGACTGCTGGTCCCTTGGGGGGTGGGGAGGCCAAAGAGCCAACCATTGACTTCCTGTTAGAAATAGTCCTTGTTCCCCTCACTATGGGAAACCAATTGGTTACTGAGCTACCAGAGGCTACATCTGAGCAGAGGTTCTAGGTTACATTCATACATGGTCCTTGGTTGCATGTCAGTCTCAGAAAAGACCCTGTGCCCAGATGTATTTGGTCCTTGTGGAGCTCCTATCCTTTCCTCATCAGACTAACTCCCCTTCTTTCTTATGATTCCCTGTACTCTGCCAAAGGTTTGGTCATGAGTCTTTGCTTTGAAAACACTGCTAGTTAGAGTCTTTCAAATGCGCTCAGTAGACTCCTGTCATATGTTCAATGTGCATCCCATCTGTCTTTCTAAACAAGGATTGATCATCTTACCCCATGTCCGCTCTCTTGATTATCTTTTTTAGGTGTACAGATTTCATTATGTTTATCATATCTTATAGGTCTATATAAGTGAGTATATACCGTGTTTGTCTTTCTCCTTCTGGGATATTTCACTCAGGATGATCTTTTCTAGATCCCACCATTTGCCTGCAAATTTCATGATTTCCTCCTTTTTGATTGCTGAGTAGTATTCCATTGTGTAAAAATACCACAATTTCTGTACCCATTCCTTCATTGATGGACATCTGGGTTGTTTAGAAGCCAAAACCATTCAATGGAAAAAAGACAGCATCTTCAACAAATGGTGCTGGTCCAACTGGATGTCCACATGCAGAAAAATGAAAATAGATCTATATTTATCACCCTGCACAAAACTAAAGTCCAAGTGGATCAACATAAGACCTCAACATAAAACCAGATACTCTAAATCTGTTAGAAGAAAAAGTGGGGAACAGCCTAGAACTCATTGGCACAGGAGACAACTTCCTGAACAGAACACCAACAGCACAGGCTCTAAGAGCAACAATCAATAAATGGGACCTCATGAAACTGAAAAGCTTCTGTAAAGCAAAGGACACTGTCATCAAAACAAAACGCCTGCCTACAGATTGGGAAAGAATCTTCACTAACCCTTTATCTGACAGAGGACTAATATGAGTATATACAAAGAACTAAAGAAGCTGAAAAGCAGCAAACCAAGTAATCCAATTAAAAAATGGGGAACAGAGCTAAACAGAGAATTCTCAACAGAGGAATATTGAATGGCAGAGAAACGCTTAAAGAAATGCTCATCCTCATTAGCCATCAGGGAAATGCAAATCAAAATGACCCTGAGATATCACCTTACACCCATCAGAATGGCCAAGATGAAAAAATCAAGGGACAACACATGCTGGAGAGGTTGTGGAGAAAGGGGAACCCTCCTCCACTGCTGGTGGGAATGTAAACTGTACAACCACTCTGGAAGTCTATCTGGCGCTTTCTAAGACAATTAGGAATAGTGCTTCCTCAAGACCCAGCTATACCACTGCTAGGTATATACCAAAAGTTTGCTCAAGTACACAAAAGGGATATTTGCTCAACCATGTTTATAGCAGCATTATTTGTAATAGCATGTTTTCAATCTTTAAAAGGGAATTAACTGCTGTCCTTCAAAGAGACCAGATAATATAGTGATTAACATTTCAGACATGTAAATTGTCTGGGTTTGAGGGTAGCTCTACTTGTTTGTAACACTGGGAAAACGTGCCTCTCTGTTATTTAAAATACGAACAGTCTTACCATTAAGAGCAGCACAGATAAAAATATAACACAGTAAATAATGGGTCCTCTCATAGTAACAATTTCATTTTAAAAAAATTTTAAAAATATTTTTAATTTCATATAGCCCATATTGGGCATGAAACTCACCTATGTAGCCCAGGGTGGCCTGGAATTTGCTACTTCCTATTTCACCCTCCTGAGTGTTAGGGTTGTATGAGTGTACTGCTGCTTCTGGACGTTCTGATTTTTATGTCTATGAATGAAAAGGAAATGAGCAATAACAGTTAAAATATAGTATAACATACAAATATTATAACATAAATCTTATGGTTTGGGTTTCTATAAGTTAATTTATAACTACTTACCATACCAGAGAATAGCAACCAAGTGACATTCCTGTCTCTGCATTAACCATGGTGAGGACATCTGGAAGCTTACAGCCTGTTCTGGATCCCATTTGCTGCTTGTTCCCATTTCTAAATGATGTCTTGTGTTTCCTAAGTAACACACATTACAGTAGCAAAGCACATGTCATATCTGGCATCACCCCACTGGTAATTATTTGCTGTGTCTTTCTAGACTGTTACACAGACTATTGCTGTAATGTAATCCTCTCTAAAAATGTTTTCCTGAACAAATATTCTGAAGCTTATTTTAAAAGATTCTGATTTTGCTCATTGTGTTTCATATTTTTAATTGTGGGTACCAATAAAATAATTTATCATAAAATAATTTATTGTAAAGTAATTTGATTTTTATTGATATGTCATATTAGTTACTCATTTAATTTATGTCTATGAATTTATGTCTAGGAAATAAGCAATAACAGTTGAAATATAGCATTGGTATGTGGTATTAGATTATTTGTCTATGGTTAGAAATTGTGTCATCCTATCACATAGTATTGTCTCATGAGCATCTTGATAATAAATTTCTAGAAGGCTGTCTATTATCTTTGAAACTTCATGTCAAAATGCCTACAAAAGTCATCTGTGCAAGAAGGAGTCAGGGTGCATGGTGGTTTTTCAGTGCCTCTGTGTGGATCTGGCTAGGGCTGGCGATGCAGGATAGAGAGAAAGCAGGCGGGGGGGGGTGCACCACGATGTCAGCTGGGTATGGTTCCCACCTCTTCCTGACACTCAGTGATCGTGGGCATTCAAGTGAGCTCCCGATCATCTGGACTGAAAAATATTTTGTGATCTGAAACGTAACTATTGAATGAATAGGTGGTTATTAGGTACGCCAAGAAAGTTACTGTAACGGTCCCAATGAATGTGAAGTGCTTCTGAGTAAACCATAGCTACTATTGTAATAAAATACACAGGGTCTTTATAAATTAAGGCCTTAGTATATAAACTAATGCGTATACATTTACATAGATATGCACATAGCTTTACATGTGCTTATATAAACATACTTCTAAACATACGTGTATGCATGTACATGTATGATACATATACATGATTCAATATGTAAAATGGAGTGTCTACGCTAGTTGCCTTTCTTCACTATCTGGAGTAACCATCGGGTGGGTGTCTTGTTGACAGGGCCTAGGAGATTGCCTCTGAGTTTCAGGGAGCATTCAAGTCACAGTTTGAAATAAGGTGAAAATGAACACACAACAAGGGGTTGTGTGTTAGGGCACTACGACTCACTACAGTGCACATGTGCTGCTCACAGCTACATCCATGACCGTGTCTATATTTACGGTACCGCACTGAGGGATTTTCTCGATAATGTCGGATGGCTTTATTTGCCATCCAAATATTATCCAGTATTATAGATTCACAGATCCAGATCCTTAGACCTAGTCCTAGATCTTGAGCTGGAAAGGATGGAAGCAAGAACTTTGGGATGCCCACTTGCTTACTAGTGGTGAGCCAGCATGAAGAACCCAGAAAGGGCCAGGACAGCAAACTTGGATGCTCACACCTACACTTGACCAGGGTGGCTAGAAAATAGGACATGTTCCTTCCAGATGGGGACCACATTTTTAGGATGTTTCTTTTTCAGAAGCACTTTCAAAAATGCTTCCCATGGTGTTTCTTTGAACTGGTTTGGTTTTTACATGTTTGTGGAAGATATTATCTGTCAGTACTGGAGACCGCTGACATACTTTAAAAGGACCTCAAAGCTCTCAAGGTATTTCTGAAGCAAGCCGTAAATGCCTTGAAGGATGAGTCCTTTGGAGGCAAGCATAAAAGCCTCATCTAGTTTTCTGTGTTTTCGTTTTCAAGAAGGAAGATGAAGGCCCGTGCTCCACCACCTCCTGGAAAGCCTGCTGCCCAGAATGTCCACAGTGAACAGAAACTGCCTCATGATGCCACACTGGGTTCACAGCAAAGCCTGATCCACATGAAGGAGGCACTACAGAACAGCACCTTGGATATCACTGTGGTTCTGCCCAGTGGACTAGAGAAGCAGAGTGTGGTCAGTGGGAGGTAAGATCCTGGCACCTGGGCGGAGGTTCCTGTGTTCCTTTTCATGTGTGTGGGAAGAAAGGGAAGAATGGGTGTGAGCATGTTGTAATTAGTTCCATGTTGAATCTGACCAAGATTAGAATGCATGCTATAGATTGGTACAAGATGATAGCCTGGGAAATGTTCTCACTGGCAATAGTGTGGGCTGACTGGCTCAGCCAGGCTCTCCATAGTCTTTAGAGGAGCCAGGACTTCAAGCCTATCCTGATAAGAGTTTGGGATCAGAGAAAAGTAAATTTTCAAAATTACTTTATGTGATAATTAAACACAATGTTGATGAATATTGCTTCCAGCCTCTGTAAACACCCAGGACTGGAACTCTTGTGCTCTAAGATACCATGCCTTTACTTGTAATAGGTAATATCACATTGTCATTGAAAGTTTTACCACCAGCATAGTGTAAGAAGTAATTTTTCAGTAGGGTTCTTCCTTGCAGCCTTTGTCCTGGGTGCAGGAAAATCTTCACATTAGCATCAAAGGAGGTGTTTAAACTTGAGACTGACACCTTGTGGCATTTCCCCAGCCCACCTCAAAGACTGAACTACAAGAGTTTCTATGTGTGTTTGGTTATTTTATAGAATAGCCATTACATTCAGCACACATTTCCCACAAAGCCTTATAATGTAAGGAGTATGTTTTAAAATTTCATAGTTTTAAAACTGAGTTTAGAATGCGTGCCATTCTGCCAGTTTATTTACCATTTTTATATTTTGTCTCAGTTGATAGTTACTGCTTTTTCTTCTCTTAGATTGTGGCATCTGGATAATAATACACAAATCTTCTTTGACAAGCACAAGGAAAGGTGGTGTTCCTCCTAGAAAGTAGAAATATTTCTGAAAAATGCTTTCAAGTAAATGCATTGTGCTCTCTGGACCTTCAGTTGTTTTTTTTTCCCCTAAGAGCAGAAGTTATCACCATGCAGTTTTGTAAGATTGCTACTGAGACTACTGAGAGCCTCATCAATTATTCAGATAACGTTCTCTTCCTAATCAGGGAAGCTTAGAGTCAGGAAGAACCAGCATCAGCCCAGAATCCTCAGTGCCTGGCCTCCCTCTGGGTGCTACAGGCAAGGGTGTGTTTCACTCTTTAATAAGATGTGGGCTGTTGTCAGATTCCTGGCTCTTGTTTGCGTTTTTGTTACATTTTTTTCCTCTTCTGCTTAAACCAGTGGCTTTAGCAAAGAGTATGCTTGTTTTGCCCTAAACCACAGTTTACAAAATGTAGCCAGCCCTGAACCGTGCATTGCCTGATGGGGAAAACATGCTAGTGATAGAGAGCTTCTGACCCCAGTCTGCAATCATAGTCGGTTTTGATTTTTTTGAGCTGCTCTTGAATTTAGAAACACAAATAAAAGTCCCTATCTGTTCTTAAATATTAAGACATAAGGATCAGGCTTGGAACAGTTCCTGACTAAGGAAGAAAGTCTGGCAGGCCTTTAGGAGTGGGGTTGCCAGCTCTCTGAATGGTGGGTGGGAAGGAAGCCAGCAGTCCCATTGCTTTAATTGGGAGCACAAGTGAAGAGAATATCTTTGAAGACACAGTACCCTCAGCCCCGGGGGAGCTTCATAAAAGGCTCTTAAGTGTTGACAGTGTTGGGCTGTGTCGTCTTAGTGTAGAAAATTAGTCACATCCACATTGGTTTACACAGCGAAGGGACATCTGGCAGGGAAAGGCAAGTGTTCCTTTCTCCAGAATAGGGGAAATCTCTCCCAGTGTTCAGTCCTGTAATTCTTTCCCTAAGAACCACTGTACCCAAACACCACAGAAAAGACAAGTTCATACCTGTGCAAGGAAATCCATGTCTTAAGCCTTGTAAAGCAGTGCAAGAACTTCCACTTCCTAGTTATTAAATCTGTAGGAGAAGCTATTAAAAAGCATCATTATTTAGAGAAAAGTGACCTTACTCAACTTTCTTCCTTCTTTTCTACCTCCCTCCCATCTCCCCCTCCTTTTCTTCTTCCTTTCCTAATAAAGGATACTGTCTTTTCTGTGAAGAAATAACAAGATTAAGGGTCTGGCATTTACATCAACAAGCCTTGCTACTATAGGAAAGAAAATGTTTTCACTAACACAAAGCTTGATCATTTATAGAAGGTACTATGCTTGCTCTGATAATTGTCATATTCCAGTCCCACTGAAGGGAAGGATTGTTTTGTGAGTTCCTGATAGATTACTAAATATTAAAATGTACATTTATCTATTGAGCAGAATAAATAATAAATTACAAACTTGTGTGTGTCACCGGGAAAAGGGTATCTCAGGTGGCAGGGAAAAGCAGAACATTTGCCAAGCACCCCTCGTGAGAAGCAGGCAGGTCCATGTTGCAGAATATAGACTGGAGAGGGAGGCAGAGGAGCCTGCACATACAGACGTTCTTCTGCAGCCTGCACAAGTTATAAGAAACCTGGCTTCTGAGTACTAATTTTCTTTAAGCACAAGGAAAAACAAACATTAAAAGTGGCACATAAAATTTGCATGAATTTTTAAGACATCCCATATTAGTTCCTCAAGGATAATTCGGTTGAATCTGCCTCAGTCATCCACTGAATGAGGAACAACATATAGAAAACACATGCCTTTCCTACAAGCTGGACACAGAATGCTATCGACCAAGACTTCTCAACCTGTTGGTTGATGGGGGTTGAATGACCCTTTCACAGGGGTCACATATAAGATATCCTGCATTTCAGATATTTACATTACAATTCAAACAGTCATGACATTACTGTTATAAAGTAGCAACAAAATAATTCTATGGTTAGGAGTGTCCAAACATGAGGAACCATATTAAAGGATGGAAGCATTGGGAAGGTAGAAAACTACTGCTATACAGACTGAAGAAAGGTAACTTCTAAGACACTGCAGGTGAAAGACAATGAGGGTGGAGTTAAGAAAGGGTAAGAGTTACTGTGATCAGAACAGGGATACCTTCTGGAAGAACGTGTCCAAACCTGCTCTGGTAACCCACATCATATGGCATCACTACTGAACTGGACAAACACCAGGTTTTCCTGGATTCCTAGCTTAAGCTTAGCTCCTCTCTTGAGGTCAAAAATTCCAACCAACATTGCTTTCAGATGGTTTACAAGTTTAGTTGCCTTAAGAAGGCAGGCTTTTGACAGTTAGCAACCTGAAGCTCTATCTAAATACAAATCATTAGACTTTTTATAGACAGGCAACAGCTGCTGGGCCTTGAGAGATCAAGTCTCTGGAATTTTACTCCATTGTTCTCTCTCTAGTGCTTGTTGACCAGGACCCAGGGTTTTATGAAACTGGATCCTTGCTGGAGATTTCAGCTCAAATCTGAAGTTTTACATCTGGCCACAAGACTTCCCTATCTATACTCCCATTTCTGGTCACCTATCTTATTCATGACTGTGATGGTGTCTTGTCTACATGTTCCCTGGTGAAGATCCTCAGACTGTTTGCCAAGGACCTTGATTACATCTTGCCTTGCCTCTTTGATGCCACATGAACCTGTCAGACTGGACTTTCTCTCAGGATTTGCATTGACCTCATTGTATGCCTCACCCAGAGCTCAGGGCCACATGCTGGCCTTGGTCCATACAAGAAACTAGGACACACTGGAACACTTGATATTTGGCCATGCAAACAAATTGTTTGTTTTAAAACTGTCCACATACACCTGTGAAAGCAGTTTCCATACCTACCCCTAGTGACCCATTCAGTCAAGATAGATTCCAAATGTCTTGATGTTTGGTATTCTAAAGATGAGCTCCTAAATCTGTAGCACTGACACCACCAGGGAAAGAAGAAGTATAGCTTTTCAGCCCCACCCAAGCTCAGCTCTATCAGAATACCATGGGTGTGGCCCATCAAACTATGTCTCCACATGATCTAAAGTTTCAGAAAGCATGCTCATCCAGAAGTTCTTTCCCTAACAACATGCTCTTGGCTCTGTCCTTGACCAGGCCCTCTGTGCTGAGAGTGAGTCTGGACCCTAACTAGCTGGATGACATGAGGAAGGAGACTGGAGTACATATAGTCTACAGAGAGGCCTCTTTGTCCTTATCTTGCCAGACTGAGTGTCTTCAGTGCCTTTCTCCCTTGTTCATCTGAGAGTATGGTGTAATAGCAGGCTTCCATCTGGAGAGAAGCTCCCTCTGTCCCAGGAGTGTAGTTGGTTTGTGACCTCTCGGACTTTGGCCTTTTGGTCTCTGAGTAGCCACTAGCATGAGTAAAGTGGTGGCATTCCTTGTTTAGTCCCTCAGTAGGACTCTGAAAAATGCCATGTGAAATAGAAGACCAGTTTCTTACTGAAGTCACTGGCTCAGGCAAGACGAATTTTTGAACTTTGTATACATTTGGAAAGCAATATTTGTAAGAGAAACAAATTACAAATTTCAAATTAAAGTTTATAACAAGTGCCCAGAAATAGTTTCATCTCTGTGTTATGAAAGTTAAAAGGCACTGGGCAGCAGAGGGCTAAAGCAGCTGGAAGAAAAAAGCCATGCAGAAGGATAAATGGGAGAAAAATTAAAAGAGACTTGCAGTTGTAAGCAAGCCCTTCAGCTAACTTGTTTTTGGGGTGGTCACTATAAACTTTTGTTGTAATTTTTTTAATTATAACTTTCTTTTTTTCCCCTTTTTTTTTTTACTATAACTTTTGTTCTTCTATTAAACTTGTGCTTTTACCTTAATTATAGATGGTGCTTAGATAGAGAAGTGGGGAAGAGGAATATTTTGCATTTTTTATTCAGATTCCTAGGTGTCTTTATGGCATCATCACTGGCGCCAGATCTCTAGCACTGCTTAACTTTCTAACATGCCTGACTCTGCCTTTGATATTCTCAGTATGTCTGCTTGTTGAGTTTCTTTCATTCCTTGGGAGATGCGAAAAACTATTTTGCAATTCAATGGTCTGATGTCACTTGCTGAGATCAGGGTGACACTCTGTCACATACAGACTGTAATACTCTGCCATAGCTGTATAAAATTCA